AGTATTTGGCACACAACAGACACTTAACAGACGACAATTACTGACTATGTATGTTCTGAAAAGCTGTAATATCACCAACACCTGTTCATAATAATAGCTGCCATTTATTAGGGCGTACATTTCGAACTCTGACAGTTACTGTCCAAATGTTCTTTTACGCTTCTTAACCTAGCTAGGCGAGCATAATCGACCCCATCTCGTGGTGAGAAACGAGATGATCTTTGTGCAACTCTGACCCGTGGGAGATTGGAGGCCTAATAAGTGGTGACTTGGAATCCAGCCCTTGACCAAATCAGGGCTCTCAGAGTGGCCTTTGTCAGCAGGGGGCTCTCAACTGCCCCTGGGAGACAGCGCCAGGAGAGGCAGCAGTCGACCAGGCCGTGGCATGGAGCCCCTAGGTCGAGGAGCCCGCCAAGCGAGGCCTCCGCTGCCACCTTCCTTCTCCCGGCTTCCGGGAGAAGCCGAGCACGTGAGCCAGGGCAGCGCTCGGGGCAGGCTGGGCACTGTCTCCAGGCAACGCGCTGTGGGCAGAGCTTTTGCGTCACTGAGGTGCGACCGGGTCGCGCGCCGAGCCGCCGCCGCCGCCGCCGCTGCCTGTGGGTGTGAGTGACGCACGGGCTGGGGCGGCACCGGTACCGCCGGAGGCGCGATGCCCTGAACCTGGGGTGAGCTCCGCAGCGCTGTCCTTTCGTCGTTTCCCTTCCTACCTGCTCCACGACCCTCGGGCTGGGAGTAGGACAGCGGCCAGGCCTCGGCTGCCGAGCCGGGCTTAGTGGGGAGCCGCCCTTCTAGGCCCCGGCTTAGGGCGCCGAGCTGGCTTGGGAGGCCCTGCGGCGGACGCCCGGTCCCCAGCCTGGCGGTTTGCAGTGGCCTGGGGCGGAGAGGTGGCTTGTCCCGTTTGGGGAGTGGATCTGGGGAAACGGAAGAGTTTTTCCTTCTCGATCCCGGAGCCGCTTTTGAATATTGCCGCCTGCGCGGTCCTTCGGCTAGCGGACGTGGCTGTTGGTTCAAACCTCCAAGTTCAAGTGCGCTGGAGGAGGAGCCGAGGAGGGTGGCCGGTGTGTGTTTAGTAAACACACCCGTGCTGTTAAAAACCCGTGCGCCCCCGCCGCCCCGGGCACCCCGGATTAGAAACCCTCTGCCTTGTGACGACCATTCAGAAATGGCCACGTCAATCTACTTAGCTTAGCTGGCTTCCACTTCCAAGCGTTTAGGGCTGCTCCTTGTTGAACCTACTACTTGAGACCCGGCTGAGACAAAAAGTCTCCTGGCTGATACTTGTTATTTGTGTCGTGTTGCAAGATGTGGACTTACTATTATTATTCAAATTCATCTCCAGTCCCTTTATTTTAATTTCAGTGTACGCTCGTATTCTGACTTGCTCTGTTCCACGGTGCCAAATAAGTCACTTCTTTCCTTTGGCATATTTATGAAGTTGCCTGTGGTTTTTAGTTGAGGTTTTTCTGCATAAAGTTATTGTTTTCTACTCGCCTCCGCCCATTCTTATTGCTGTAAATTGACTCCCATCCATTCAAATTTCATCTGGGGCGTCTCGCACCAGCTATCCCAAATTACTCACTGCTATATTGAAGTCACCTCTCAAAAGAAGTGATGCTTTCTGAATTCGTCACTCAGAAATCATTTGGATTTCTCTCCTTTCTTTCCTTTGATTCTGCCTGGCTGCCATTTCTAAATAATTGCCTCTAGAATATAATTGTAGACTTCCAAAATATGTTCTTTGACATTTTGTGTAAGTGAATTTTATACTTGATGTGTGTAGCATGGTCTTTCTTAGTTCACATCCAAACACCTAACACACTTACCTTACCCTTCTCCCCAAAAAGCAGGGAAGGTCCAGAGAGGATTTTTACAAGTTTGGTATAGTGTATTTTCCCAAATACATATGTAATGTATTTAGTAAACACACTGGTGCTGTCAGAAATCTGTATTCTTAATCTCCAAGTACTCTCCATGCTTTAGTAGTTTTTCTTTCTATAAACATTTCCTTCTGGTTAAGATCTTTTAGACCAGGACAAACATTCCAGGCTCTATAGTGACTCGGGCTAGTCTAATTTGTTTCGCTATGTATCTGTTGTGACTGCTGTTAATTTTTTATCTTGCAGAACAGCTTACGGATACAGAGTTTGAGTAAGCAATGAGTAATAAAAGTGTATCCTTAGGGACCTAGTTTTTAGAACTTAGTTTTATCACTGATTTTTTTATTACTGACTTCATGATGAAAATAATTGATTATTTCTATTCGTTTTTGTCTTTTTGTAAGTAAAGCAGCTGATAAAAAATTTCATGGAGAGCAGGTTTCAGAGAGGTTTTCTCAGTACTGCATTCCTTGTGAACTAGTCATCTTGTTGCGCTTTCAGGCTTTTCAACTTTGCTTCAATTCTTCTATGAATGGATATGGTTTAAATTTTCATGGAGGTTTTTTGGTTGGATTTGGGTTTGGGGATTGATTGGTTGGTTGAGTTTTGCCAGTTGCTCATGATGTGATTTTATGTCTTTATAAAGAATATTTAAACTACAACAATTCATTTGTTAGAAAAAGAAGTGATCAAGTGTATGTTACCACCCACTAGAGAATTTAGCATTTTTGGAATCCTTGATATTCTGATATTTCAAAATAACAGTTCTTTATTTTTTAAATCCTTCAGATTTTTTTTGAAAGCACATTATTCTGCTAGAAAGGATTAAATTATAGGTGGCACAATAGTATGAGAGCTGCCAGTTCTTGACCAGAGATTTGTTTTTTGCAGAATTCTATGCCACTGGTTTGCAAATTATGTTCCTATGCAAACTACAGTTGCATGATCTAGAAGAAAGTATTTTGCTAATATCAAATAATGAATATTCAACATGTATATTAAATGAATGGTACATCTTTACAATTTTATATTTTTTCTTCCATGTATTTTTTTAACTTCAGCTTCTCTCTAATACTAGTAGATGACTAAATAGGTTAACAAGAGTCAAAAGAATACTGAGTGAATAATAAAAAACAAAAGCTGTCAACAATATTTACTGTATACATTTGTAAACATTTATTGTATGCTTATGCATCTGCCAGAAGAGAGAACATAGCTGTTATCCTCAAGAAGCTCACAGAGGGGCACGGTCAAGTGACCTAGCATATGTGCTGTGACAGGAATGTGCAGTCACCAAAGAGGAACACTGAAAAACTTGTGTCAGGTTACTAGAGAGTGACCTAAACAGATTGTTTTTATGAACATGCACCCTTGGGTGTGGTTTTGTATTGCATATAGATCACAGAGTCGTATTTTAATAGTAGTGATAGACATTAATATTTATCATTATTTTATAGTATTCAAAATGAACCGTAAATTCCAGGCACTCTCCACTAAACCAGGGTGAGAACCACTGTTCCAGGCCCTTTTAGTAGTCTCTAGATAGTGTTCCCTTTTAATTGGAGGAGTTAGTAGTGATCAGGTTTTCCAGATACCAAATGCAATTACAGAATAACAAATTAATATGTTGTCTCAAATTATAAACTTTGTCATTCAGAGTTAAGTCACCAGATCAAACAGTGCAGAAACAAAACAAGATCATTTTCTAATTCAGTAAATAAGTAACTAAAGCTTCTCTTTAAATATCTGTTTGAAGGGCACATTGCTTAAATTATCATTGCATGTTTTTGCATTGCTAAGACTGTATATTTCAAAAGTTTGATTTTTTTTTCTTTGTTAAGTAGTGTAAGACTAAAGTTTTCAGTCTGGTTGATTAAAATCTTTTATTGCATTTTGATTGGATTGCTATAGGAAAACTAGAGGGATTTTAGTTTCACTTCAAGAGTAAAATATTAGAGTAGAGATCACTTACTCCACTTCTCACCCAAGAAAAAATCTTCTCTAAGACATTCATTAGGTGAACTTCTAATCTTTCTTTAAACACCTCCACACTCTCAATGAAAGCAAACTCACATACATTAATTACAAGATAGTCCTTAACACTTATGTATGACAGTTATGGATGATAAGAAATTTCTTCTATTGACCTGAAATCTGCCTCATTTACACTTAATTGGCAATTCTGTTTTCTCTAACTATATAAAATAAATCTTACTTCCTCTTCCACGTGAAACCTCTTCAAATAGTTGAGCAAACTTAGCATGTTGCTCCATGTTCTTACTGAACTATGATTAGCAAAAATAAATTGCTCTGTTTTCTAGATCTAGAACATCTTGTATACTCTCCCAAATATGTTCATATGATTAGGTACCCTTTAAAGGTGTGACTGCTAAGAGCTGATCACAAACTTCAGTATACTCTGACCATTACAGGGTACAGTGGGACTAGGCTCTTGCACAAGACATCTGCTTCTAGCAAGCGTTTAGGATGTTTAACATCTTTCTTGTCTCTGTTAACTGTTGGCTTATTTTGACTGAAATCCTCAGATCTTTTATTTTTAACTACTTTTAACACAGCTTCCCTGTGCATTTCTCTGCAGTTGGCTTTTCAAAACATGTTCAGACTTAACCTTGAGTCATATTTGATATAATTTATTTCATTTCAGAAAATATCTCTTTCAGTCTTGATTCTGGTATTCAGTGGCCATTTCTCTATTCCAGTTTTAGTCATCCACAGATTAGGCAGGCATGCAGTCTTGTCTTTGGGTCATCAATAAAAATGGTAAACAGCTCATTTCTTGGTGCCAGTCTCCTTTTCCTTCTCTGCTTTAGTAATTCTGGCCCTTTTTATTGCCTTAAAGTCAACATGCTCCTTCCTATGTTAGGCACTTTCTGTGACCTCTGCCTGCAATGTCAGCCCCTCACCATGCTTTTAACCCTCTTCTCTGGCTAACTGATCTCAGATCAAATGTTGTTTGCTCAAGGACTTCTTCCCTGACACAAGACTAAGTCAAGTCCCCCTTTTATAGGTTTTTGTAGCACCCTATTCTTGTTTGGCTTAGCGCTTTCATTTTGTAATTATATATTTATTGATATGATTTTCTCTTCTTCACTGTATCAGATGCTCCACGGTATCAAGAACCATGTTTCTTTCACTCACTATTATATCCCCAGAATGCAGCACAATGCCAAGCACATGGTACTTGTTGAATTTAATTTCTTTTAAATATGTTTTTTTGATTTTTTTAGAGAGAGAGGAAGGGAGAAAGAGATAGAAACATTGATGTGAGAGAGAAACATCGATCAGCTGCCGCCTCTAACCCGGCATGTGCCCTGACCAGGAATCGAACTGGGACCTCTCAGTCCACGGGACAATGCTTAATCTACTGAGCCACTCTGGCCGGGCAGTAAGTCTTTACTTTAAAAATATAGTTTGGCCCTGGCCGGTTTGCCTCAGCAGTTAGAGCGTTGGCCTGCAGTCCAGAGAGACCCAGGTTCGGTTCCTGCAAGCCTCGGTTGCAGTTTGTCCCTGGCCCTGGTTGGGTCGTGCAGGTGGCAACCACTAGATGTGTTCCTTTCAAGTCAGTGTTTCTCTCTCTCTCTCTCTCTCTCTCTCTCTCCCTCCCTCCCTCCCTCCCTCCCACTTTATCTGAACAAAATATGGAAGGGTGTCCTCGGGTGAGGATAAAATATATATATATAGTTTGTTCATTTATATATTTATTTTTTTAAAGAAATCTGTTAGCAAGAGTTTTTTGTTTTGTTTTTTTTTAATATGGTAAATAAATTCTACCTTAGGTCGTGTAAGTCTACTGAACTCTTACTTAAATGTATTCCTACTTTTTCTTTTATTTTCTTGAAGGGGTGGATATATTGCTGTTTTTATATTATATATGTAGTAACTTTTATATATATTTAACAGAAACTATGTGAAGCAATACTCTCTCGGGATTTCAAAAGACATCATTTCATCATGGGACAACAAATTTCGGATCAGACACAACTGGTTCTTAACAAGTTACCAGAAAAAGTAGCAAAACATGTCACATTGGTTCGAGAAAGTGGCTCCTTAACTTACGAAGAATTTCTTGGGAGAGTAGCTGAACTTAATGATGTGTAAGGCTTGCTCTTTTTCATTTTGCTTTCCCCACTTATGTATGCCCCACAAGTCATGCCTGTCTGAGAGGTAATCAGAGGTATTGATTGGTAAGATTCAATGTTTTCAGCAGCAACAGTTAGCAAATATTTATTGAGTATCTACTATAAGACTTTCTCTATGACGATTTTAAAATATGTAATAGGAACAAAAGAGGTCGAAGGAACATGAAATTAAATTTTAAACACAGGCATATAAATTCATTTTTGTTTTAAAGCACTAAAGGGGTAGAAAACAAGACTGCTAATTAGCCACTCTAGAGAAAGGCTTCTAGGATACTCACAGGGTACTCAGGTTTCTGTACATCATCCGGTTCATCTGGTTAATAAATAAACAAATCTTCCATGTTTGTTCACAGAGCCATTATTTTGCCAGAGAAATACATATATATATTAGTAATTCATTTATCATCACAGAAGAATAAGATACTTCAGTTATTAATATTTTGTAATCAGTTAACATCTTTAAATCTGTACTTAACTTTTGAATAGATTAATGTTTTAAATAGAATGCAAATTTCTGTGCATTTATTTATTTATTGAAAACATGACTGGTTTGTTCAAATATTTGAAGAGGTTTCATGTGGAAGAGGAAGTAAGATTTATTTTATATAGTTAGAAAAAACAGAATGGCCAATTAAGTGTAAATGAGGCAGGTTTCAGGTCAATAGGAGAAATTTCCTATCATCCATAAGTGTTAGAGAGAAAGAAAGAGAGAGGGAGAAACATCGATGAGAGAGAACATCGATTTACCGCCTCCTGCCTGCCCCCCACCAGGGATCAGACCCACAACCTGGGCATGGCCTTGACTGGGAATCAAACCAGCGACCTCTTTCTTGGTGCATGGGTTGACACTCAACCACTGAGTCACACTGGCCAGGGTCTCTGCATTCTTAAAGAGCACATTTAATAGAATTTAGTCTTTTGTTTGTGAATTTATTCTTTATTATATCAATTTTTATACTGATCTATTATAGATGCTATTAAAATACACAGGGCTCTTTGTCCCTGAATGGCCCCAGATTGTTATGCTTTAAAAATATTATTTTCTTTGTGTGTTTTCTCCCCTAATGACAGATGAGAAGATGACATTTTTTTTCTATAGCAGTACCTACATTCATATATATATATATATATTATAAAATCTCCCTTGGGATGTAATTATGGCATTGCCTTTGAAATAAGATCTTAAATATTCTCTCTTCAGTCTGTTCAGTCTAGCTAACATTCACTGAGCCCATAGTATGTTCAAGGCACTCTGCTGAGGGTTAGACATTTTAACTGAGGCCTCAAGTATTAATGGTAGATCCAGCTCTCCCTGTCTGAAATTTTTTTCACTGTCCCACCTTAACTATCCCACTTGAATCTCTCTTTAAATCCCCCAAATCCAATCAAAATCACTAGGCAGTCTGGACCCACTTAGTATAAATATAAACTTATATTACAGTCCCTATTAATAGTTTAGGGTCAGATACATGAACCTGCTCCCTAGCTTTGTGATAGCTATATTGGTTAATAAGAAACATACGTAGCGCCCTGGCCAGTTTGGCTCAGCGGTTAGAGGGTTGGCCTGCGGTTTACAGAGACCCGGGTTCGGTTCCCGCTAAGGGCATGTACTTTGGCTGCAGTTTGTCCCCGGCCCTGGTCAGGTCGTGCGGGTGGCGGCCACTTGATGTGTCCCTTTCACGTCGATGTTTCTCTCTCTCTCTCTCTCTTCCTCTCTCTCCCTACCATTCTATCTGAACAAAATATTGAAAAATGTCCTCGGGTGAGGATAAAAATTAAAAAAAAATAAAAAAGAAACATGCGTAGCTGTCTGGAACACATTAGATAAAGAGAAGAAAATAGTCTTTTTATGAACATGACTGGAGTCTACTATTATTAGCTAGTCACGAAGAATAAAAAAGTCTTAAAAATTAAAGTTCTCTTAGAAGGTTGTTTGTTTTAAGAACACTGGATTTCGTTTATTTAAAAAAACAAACAAACAAACAAAAAAACCTGTATAGATACATGGATGGATCCTGTATGGTTATACATGTAAATACATAGAAAATGAGCTAGAAGGCTACATGCTGGGTCTCTGGGGAGTTGGTGGAAAGGGGGCAGCGAGGGATTTTACATTTTACTGTGTATTGTCTGGTCTTTTATAATAAAAATGTAGCCTGGCTGGCGTGGCTCAGTGGTTGAGCGTCGATCCATGCACTAAGAGGTTGCCAGTTTGATTCCTGGTCAGGACACATGCCCAGGTTGTGGGCCCAATCCCCAATGGGGTCATGTGGGAGGCAGCCAGTTGATGTTCTCTCTCATCGATGTTTCCATCTGTCTCTCCCTCTCCCTTCCTCTCTCTCCAAATAATAAAGAAAAAAATGTAGTCATCAGTTTTTAAAACTTTAGCATTTTTCTTTTTTTTTTTAGATCATCCAAATGGTAGTATTTGAGACTTTACTTCTGGGACCATAATCTTAAGGAGTAAAATTGGGTTGAGAATTTAATAGTATTCTAAGAGTGAAATGATTTTTATGTCTAGTGTTTCAACTCTTATGGAGAGTAAGCAGTGACATTTGCCATTGCTTTAGAGTCTTGGAACTTAACGTAAACCTAGTCTATTATACAAAATTTTGCCTTTTCACCTAAAGATACTGAATAAAATATGTCCTGTGAAAGCATTCCACAAGCCAAGTTTAATGTAATACAGAGGTGATAGTAAAGAATATCTTCGTCTTATTTATTTAGCACAGGAACTTCTGTCTGGATTTGGTTCTTAAAACAAATTTTCATGGTCAGAGTTGGGCATTTCATAAGGGCATTGCTGTCAGAGAACTAAAGTTAAACCTATACAGGAAGATGTGTGGCTTGATGGCTAGAAAACAACTGGGAACTGGCACAGTTAAGACTAGTTGCTTAATTTCCAAGGCCTCAATGTATTTAGCTGTAAGTCACTTAGTTCTGAGTGTGATATCCCTACTGGTGCTCAGACAGAAATGTGAGTGATGATAGAAGGGAGCAAGAATATTTGAGTATGTCTTTGAACTGATTTAAATTGGCATCGATGGCACGATATTAAATTATCCTCTAAAAGGCATATTTTTATGTTAGAATCCTGCAGCTCTCTAGGTTAAAATTACTCTGCTAAGGGAAGACAGTAAAGAGATATATATAGATATAGATCTATCTATATATATTTTTAATATGTTTTTATTGATTTTAGAGAGAGGAAGGGAGAAGGGGATAGAAACATTGATGAGAGAAAAATATCAATCAGCTGCCTCCTGCATGCCCCCTACTAGGGATCAAGTCTGCAGCTGGGCGTGTGCCCTGACCTGGAATCCAACCAGCGACTTCTTGGTGCACAGGCGACACTCGGTCCACTGAGCCACACCAGCTGGACAGTAAAGCTATATTTAAAGTGTCTCAAAATCATTTGCTTGATCCAGTCCAAATTATCTATAAAAATTTTTTTCAAAGTGATAGTACTGTTGCTTAAATAAGGACTCACCAAAAGCAAATTTTTTTCCACACTTTATATACATCTGAGGCAATAGTCAAAATTTGGCTGAGTGAAATTAGCTAAGACCATTAAGATGTTAGGACAAAAAGATTTATAAATATCATTCCACTATGCTGTTGACTTTAAAAACCTTGGAAATTAAGTTGTATATTTAATCAAAACTTTCTCTTTTCCTGTGTTTTAAGAATCTAATTAATATAATCATTATTATTATTTGTGTGTGTTCTTAAGATTTTCTCTGTTTTAAAAGGGTTTCTTGAATCGGGTTTCATGGCTCCATTATTTTATATGACTTTTCATAAAGTTAACAAATGCGTTTGTCTCTCTTTAGAACTGCTAAAGTGGCTTCTGGCCAGGAGAAACATCTTCTCTTCGAGGTGCAACCTGGGTCTGACTCTTCTGCCTTTTGGAAAGTGATAGTACGGGTGGTCTGTACCAAGGTGAGAGTGATGGAGACTACTGACACAGAGCTTAAACTACGTTGGTGGTTAGAACCATATTCAATATAATATAATGTGATTGAGATAAATGTTAATAATTTGGTTACTGTTATTGCCTTTCAGGTTAACTGTTTGAATCTCACTGGTATAATGACCAAATAGCAGAGATTTTTATAATCAAGAAAGGTGGTGGTAAACCTTTTACCTCTCTTTTTGGATTTACCTGGCTGTGGAATCCTAAGGTGACACCCTACTTAGCTGTAAGATGATTCCTTAAAAATTAGTTATCTTAGAAGATCATTTCTTTTAATAATACCAGATTTTATTTATTTTGTAGTAATTTTTAAACCCATTAGAAATGTTTGTTTTCTCTTAGTAATTTTTATAGAATGGATATTTTCACCATCATTGTACATCCTCTTAGTTCATCTTTAAATTTTAGACACTCGAATATATTAAATGGGCTATGGGCTAAAAAATATAATGGCAGCTGTCATGGAGTATTTGGAAGCCTCATCCACCAATGGGTAGATTAGAATAGGTGGTTTTTAACCTTCTTGAGGCCACAGAACTTTTGGTGAAAGTGAAGGAACAATTTTCTTAGGCCTTCTATCCCAACTCCTGCTCTAAAACAAACAGTAAAATTATTCATATGCACATAAACAGTAAATTGAGCATTTATGAGTGTCCTGAAGTCCATTCCTGATCAACCCTTAAAGAACTCCTGGGTAATGCCCTGGCTGGTTTGGCTCAGCGGATAGAGCGTTGGCCCGTAGACTAGAGAGTTCCGGGTTCAGTTCCCGCTAAGGGCATGTACCTTGGTTGCAGTATGTCCCCAGCCCCGGTTGGGGTTGGGGGGGTGGCGGCCACGCGATGTGTCTCTCTCACATCGATGTTTCTCTCTCTCTCTCTTCCTCCTTCTCTCCCTCCCACTCTACCTGAAGATAAATGAAAAAAAAAAATGACCTCAGGTGAGGATAAAAAAAAAACCTATGGTACATTTACACAATGGAACACTGCATCTGTAAAAAACAAAACAAAAAAAGAACTCCTGGGTAAGGAGGGTTTTTTTGTGTGTGTGTCATGATCAGCAAAGTCCTATATATTCTGTCCTTACCTCATCTCCTCCCTCTCATTCTATTTCACCCTGGGCTCCTTGCCTCCTTGCTGGACTCTCTATGCTCCTTGCCAGGCACACTTCTGCCTAACAACCTTTGCATTTCCTACTCTCTCAGCCTGGAATGATCCTTCCCCCAAGTGTCTATATGCTTCATTCTTGCATCCCTTTCAGTTCTTAAATGTCACCTTCTCTTCAAGGCCTTCTCTACAACCTGTTAGCATTTCATCTCTGTTTAATCTCCATAACACTTGTTTCTGTCTAGTCTGTATGTTATTTTCTTCTCTCCTACCTATAGTGTAAATTCCATGAGGGCAGGGATTTTAGTTTGTTATGCACACTATGTCACCAGTGCCGAGAGCAGTACACATATTACCTATAACATTATGTGTACTCAATAAATACTTGTTGCACGAATCCTATAGTTACATTAGTTGCAGTTTGATAAACTTTGATGTTAAATACTACGTCTATGTGAATTATTCCCTAATTTCTTCTGAATTACGCAGTTCCAAAGGAAGATTGGCCAGTTTTTTCAGCTCTGAAAATCTATTTTGTCATCTATAAATTCCTGTCACCTTTAATTCTATTTGTCCACAACCCCATGTATAGTCTTTTATTACAAAGAATATTACATATTTGCATTTCCATATAGATCTTACCATTCCAAAGTTTAACCAATTTTTTTAGTATTAACAATGGTTCTGCCATTTTTACAACATGGAATCTGATTCATAATTGATTCTCAGTTTTTCCTCTCATTGCCTTCTCGAGTAGTAAGCAATAAATGTTAGTCACAACTATTATTATTTTAATTCAAAATATGGAAATGTTGCTATAATAATATTTTTTTTAATATGTAACTTAACTACTTCACTTTCTCATATCCCCAGTTCCATCAATACACTTTAAAACCTATTTCATTCACAATTTTAAGGCCCTCTATCTAAATCTCTCCATTCTTCATTTCTTTCTATTTTTGGATTTTGTTAGTTCTGTTTATTTTGATAAGCACTTAATAGATTTCGTTGCATACTTCTGTTCCCACAGTCTTCCTTACCATCTCCTGTGCTGAAATAAAGTCTTTCACATCTCTAACGTGTTGCTGATTAATTCATGCGCTTTGCCCTCAACTCTACTGGCCTTTGTCATTTCAAAAGTGAATGTATGCCCCACTCCATGAGTCCTCAAGCCTGAAAGCAATATTATCTCTCCTTACCTATTACCTCACACTTGCCCTAAATAAGTCCTCCCAGTAAGAATGTAAGCTATTCCCGGCCGGTGTGGTTTAGTGGATTGAGCATCATGCCGTGGGCTGAGAGTCCTGGTTTGATTCCTCCTGGTCAGAGCACATGCCCGGGTGCTGGCTCGATCCCAAGTGGGAAGCGGGCAGGAGGCAGCCAATCAATGTTTCTCTCTCACATCAATGTTTCTCTCTCTCCCTTCCCCTCTTTCTAAAAATAAAAAATCAATTAAAAAAAAAGTAAGCTAGAGCAGGGTTAAATACAATCTGTAGACACTGATTCCGTTCATATTAAATGAGTTTTTGCTATACTTCAAAATGGCCTTCTGGGAAAAACTCAACCACTTTTTGTTGGGATTTACTTCAATATAATTGTTAGTTTGGAAGTTTGGGTATAAAGTAGAACTTAAGGTATTCAAGAAAGCGATCTATTGTTTCAGTTATAGTAGAGAGGCATGTGCTTGTTGGATTCAAATAAATCCGTTAATTAAGAAATTCTTCAAGAAATTAAAATGAAAATAATTGTCAATACCAATCTCTAAAATTCATTTCTTAGGTCTGGGAAAGTCGCCTGACCTCTTCAACTCTAAGCAGGATGATAACTAATCAACCCTACAGTGTTATTTTGAGAACCAAATGAGATAAATTTTTGTAACTACTCTGAACTCCACAAATGTAGGAGACATGATATTATTCATTTGCACAGATTCTTGCTCAACTTGTTGAGTAATTGGCAAACCTGGAAAACTTCTATTTTCTAGGGTGTTTGACTAAATATTTGTTCCCCTTTTTGGGGGAAAATTGATAAGAGAAATTGTCAGCATTTTGGGGGGTTGTTTTTTGTTTGTTTTGTTTTTCAATTTTCTTTGTATTTTTAGATTAACAAAAGCCGTGGCATTGTGGAAGCATCACGGATTATGAATTTGTACCAATTTATGCAGCTTTATAAAGACATCACTAGTCAAGCAGCAGGAGTATTGGCACAGAGCTCCACCTCTGAAGACCCTGATGAAAACTCATCATCTGTAACATCTTGTCAGGCCAGTCTTTGGATGGGAAGGTATACAATACATAAGTACCATGTTTCTCCTATTTTCCAATATGCAAGCTACTGAAATTTCATTAATATTTTTGCTGGTGCTCTTTGTGACATCGTAAATCATATTGCTTTTTGTCTCTGTTGATATTATATCCCAGATTAGCTTTTGGGTTATTCTGTGCTTCAGGACATTGTTAGAGTGCCAATTAAAGAGAAGTTAAAGGGGATCATACCAGGTAATATTTCTGTCAATCCCATTTCCATGAATACACTTTCTACATGCTTACATTTAATGACAAAAGAGTTGCAGTTAATACCCCTCTTATAAGATACTTGGCTTATCAAGACATCAAAGCCCTTCAGCAAATTAGGTCCAAGAATGGCAGAATCATTCTAGTTTTTCTTAAAAATATCTAATTGAAACATTAAAGTTGTAAATATTGGCTCCAGGATTTGGCATACATCAATGAACACGTAGTTGATACCAGAGGGAAATGAAGTCTGCCAGAGTTTTCTCTGATGGTGCTTGTTTACTCGGGTCTAATATATTCTTGTTCTATCTAAACTTTCTTTTCCTTCTCTAATAATGCTTTTGGCATGTGGAAGCTCCTACCTGTTACCATTTAACAAACATGACCATAATTTAAATTTGTAAACGCCTCATTGGAAAGTCTTACATAGGTCCAGACATGTTGACATTCTGTCTTATTGTCATACAGAGTAGACAGCAAAAACCTGTATTGACAGTGTCCTTTACCTTAAAGTTAATAATATACTGAACAAGCATTTCTGTTTTATCGCTCTAGTTGCATTTTCTGATGTATTCTTAACCAACTGGTTTCCAAATACTATGTTGTAGTAAAATTGTATTTTCCATTTATCTTTAATAGGATTGTTTGGATTTCTAGGTTTGGGCTGTACAAGTGTTACTGAAATTCCAAATGAGTTTAATAACAGTATAGCAGCATTAAGGCTAATCTTTCTTGTATTTTGTAAAGTTCATCTCTCAAAGACAAATGTCTGGTTTTCTGATTTTTTTTTCTCTCCCTCTTTAAAATGGTGATTATTTATACATACTGTTTTAAAAACCAAAAATATTATTTACCAGAATATTTAAGCTCTATGTTAGCAAATGAAATGAAAGTGATACTTTTTTCTTGTTACAATCATTTTAATGAAGGAGATAGGGTGTTATTCCTTTTCATGTACCCTCGAGACTAGAAAATGCAATGCTGAATCACTAAGTTAGGGCTGCTTCTTGCCTTTGTATGTTTTTTGGTTTTTAGTTACACCCTGATACACTAATTCATAGAAAACCAGACTTTTCAAGTTGAATGGGGATCTTAAGAGGTATTTATTTGATTCAGCCTTACATCTGATTCATATTTCTATTAGTGGTTTACATTTATTGAGTACTTATGGGATATTAGGTATTGTGATGAGTGCTTTACATGTATAAAGTCATTAACTCCTCACAACAACCCAAGGGTAATATAATTATTGGCCCATTTCAGATGAAGAAACTGAGGTTTAGACAAATGAATGACATAGATAGATTTGCCCTACCTGAGATTCACATTCATGCCTGTCTGGAGATAACAGCCATGCTTCCAACCTGCATTATTATTCTCTGGTACATAAAGATCCTGTACTACAGTACTTCTTAAATTTTGACATTTAGTGGTTTTGAGGAGGAGCTTAAGATTCTGTCAAGCTTCCAATTAGGGTCACTGCTGCTGATCCATGAATAACCTTTGAATAGTAAGATTCTACGGTAGTCTAACTTGTACTTGAACACCTCCAGTTAAATGGGATTCACAGCCTCAGAGGAGCAAGCCTTTTCATATACATATGGTTCTGATTATTATGAAATCATCCCTTTTGTATTTTATTCCTTAGATAGTCAAAATCTAGCTCGCTCTCTCTCTTTTTTATATTAATTTATTTTTGTTACAGATGTTTCTCCTTTTTACCCCATTGACACTCTCTTCTCAATCCAGTTGTGTTGTTGCCTATATGTTGTTTTATCTCTTCCCTCCCTCATACCCCCCTCTTCTGAGGTTTGTCAGTCTATACCCTACCACTATGTCTCTGGGTCTATTTTGTTCATTATATTCCACAAATAAGTGAGATTATGTGATATTTGTCTTTCTCTGATTAGCTTCTTTTGCTTAGCATAATACTCTCCAGGTCCCTCTGTGTCATCTCAAAGGATAAGAGATCTTTCTTTCTTACAGCTGCATAGTATTCCATTGTATATATGTACCACAGCTTTTTAATCCACTCATCTATTGACAGATACCTGGGCTGTTTCCATATCTTAGCAATTGAAAATAGTGCTGCTATGAATGTAGGGGTAAATATATTCTTTCTAACTGGTATTTCAGGCTTCTTAGGATATATTCCTAGAAGTGGGATCACTGGGTCAAATGGCAGATCAATTTTTAACTTTTTGAGGAAACACTGTATTGTTTTCCATAGTGGCTGCACTAGTCTGTATTCCCACCAGCAGTGTACTAAAGTCCCCTTTCTCCACACCTTCACCAGCACTTGTTGTTTGATGATTTATTGATGGTGGCCATTATGCTGGATGTGAGGCAATACCTAATAGTAGTTTTTATTTCCATCTTTCTGATAATTAGTGATATTGAGCATTTTTTCATATGTCTCTTGGCTATTTGTGTGTCCTGTTTGGAGAGGTGTCTATTTAGGTCCTCTGCCCATTTTTTAATTGGATTCTTTGTCTTCCTTTTGTTGAGTTGTCTGAGGACTCTATATATTTTGGAAATTAACCCCTTATCTGATGTATCATTACCAATTATGCTCTCCCATATAGTGGGTTCCTTTTCCATTTTGATGCTTGTTTCTTTTGATGTGAAGAAGCTGTTTAGTTTGATGTAGTCCGTTTATTAATTTTTTTGTTTCTCTTGCCTTAGGTGTTGTATCACTGAAAATTCTGCTGTGTGTGATGTCTGAAATTTTTTGCTTACATTTTCTTCTAGGATTTTTATGGATTCATGAGTCACATTTAAGTCTTTTATCCATTTTGAGTTTATTCTTGTGTATGGTGTAAGTTGGTGGTCTAGTTTCATTTCTTTGCATGTAGCTGTCCAATTTTCCAAACACCATTTATTAAAGAGGCTGTCTTTACTCCATTGTATGCTCTTGCCATCTTTGCCAAATATTAATTGAGCATAATGTGTTGGGTCAATTTCTGGGTTCTCTGTTCTGTTCCATTGATCTATATGCCTGCTCTTGTGCCAGTACCAGGCTGTTTTGATTACAATGGCTTTGTAATGTAACCTGATATCTGGTATTGTGATCCCTCCTACTTTGTTCTTCTTTTTCAAGATTGCTGTGGCTATTCAAAGTTTTTTTGGTTCCATATAAACTTTTGGAGTGTTTGTTCTAGTTCTGTGAAATATGTCATTGGTATTTTAATAGGGATTGCATTGAATCTATAGATTGCTTTGGGTAGTGTGTACATTAATGGGATTGCATTGAATCTATAGATTGCTTTGAGTACTGTGTACATTTTAATGATGTTAATTCTTCCAATCCATGAACAAGGTATATGCTTCCACTTTTTTATATCTTCCTTTGTTTCTTTTTTAAATGTCCTGTAGTTTTCTGCAAACAGGTCCTTTACTTCTTTGATTAAGTTCATTCCTAGGTATGTTAATTTTTTTGCTGCAATGGTAAAAGAGATTTTTTTTTTTTAGTTTCTATTTCTCTGAGTTTATTATTGGTATATAAGAATGTCATTGAGCCCTGGCTGGTTTAGATCAGCAGTTAAAGCATCAGCTTGCAGAGCAAAGAGTCATGGGTTTGAGTCTGGTCAAGGGCATGAACCTCGGTTGAGGTTTGGATCCTGGCCCTGGTTTGGGTCGTGCATGGGGCAACCAATCGATGTGTCTCTCTCACATCAATGTTTGTTTCTTTCTATTTCTCCCTCTCATTCTGTCTGAAAATAAATGGAAAAATACCCTTGGGTGAGGACTTGGAAAAAAAAAAGAATGCCATTGATTTCTTGATGTTGACTTTGTATCCTGTTACTTTGCTCAATTCATTTATTAAATGTAGTAGATTTTTGATGGAGTCTTTAGGGTTTTCTATGTACGATATCATGTCATCTGCAAATAATGACAGTTTTACCTCCTCCTTTCCTATTTGGATCTCTTATTTTTTTCTTCATGTCTAATTACTGTGGTTAAGACTTCCAGTAGTATGTTAAATAAATAAGAGTGGTGAAAGTGGGCATTTTTGTGTTGTTCCTGTTCTTAAGGAAAATGCTTTAAGTTTTTGCCCATTAAGTATGATGTTGGCTGTAGGTTTTTCATATACGGCCTTTCTTATGTTGAGATACGATCCCTCTATTCCCACATTGGTGAGCATTTTTATCAGAAATAGGTGCTGGATTTTGTCAAATGCTTTTTCAGTGTCTATTGATATAATCATATAGTTTTTATCTTTCATTTTGTTTATGTGGTGCATCACATTTATTGATTTGCAAATATTGTACCATCCTGCATTCCTGGGATGAATCCCACTTGGTTATGGTGAATAACTTTTTGATGTATTGCTGGATCCGATTTGCTAATATTTTGTTAAGGATTTTGGCATCAATGTTCATCAGGGTTATTGGCCTGTAGTTTTCTTTCTTTGTAGTGTCTTTATCTGGTTTTGGAATTAGAATTATGCTGGCCTCATAAAATGAGTTTGGAAGACTTCCTTATTCTTGAATTTTTTGGAGTAGTTTGAGGAGAATGGGTGTTAGTTCTGTGAATGTTCAGAAAACTCCCCTCTGAAGCCGTCCTGGCCCAGGCTTTTGTTTGTTGGGAGATTCTTGATTACGTCTTCAGTTTCCTTAGTTGTTATTGCTCTGTTCAAGTTTTCTATCTCTTCCCAGTTTACTTTTGGGAGACTGTGTGTTTCTAGAAATTTGTTCATTTCACCTAAGTTTTCCAGTTTGTCAGCATATAACTGTTCATAGTAGTTTTTAACATTTTTTTGTATTTTTG